TCAGTGTTTAGGGGTTAATACGGGATCTTCCTCGTCAGTCCCAAGCGTTTTTCTCTAGTTTCACTGTTCCCGTTCGCAACGAAAAACTTAGATTTTCCAAACAATTGACCAAACGCAGCCGCTAACAAAAAGTATGATCAAATCACCGCATACCACCTCCAATGCGACGGGATGCGTGTAAAACATTACTTAGGCTATCCAAATCAAGCAGTTCAGGGAAAGCGAAGTCTTTCACGACTTGTTCTGCATGCTAGTCATCGAAAAACGTCAAAATTCTGCCTCTCCCAAAAGTTCCGCTATACACTCACGACTGCTCTATCCGAGTAGCTCGCGACGGAGAAACAACGCGCTTTTGCTGCAAACGGATCCATTCAGTGCCCTGCGAGTTTTTGAATGGGTTTGGTCCCGTAGGTGTACAAAACATTATAAAAATCGAAATAGAGAGACTATGAGCCCGTCGGTGAGGCTATACGAATGGGGATATTGTTATGAATTATAATTTTCCTGAATCGCCCTCCGAAGGATGAAGGGGACCCAGATGTAGGAATTGCGGAGATATTCATGTGCGAAAGAACTAGAATAACAAATCAGTAAAAATAATCATGTCACTTAAGCTGCCGAAAACCACCTTTTTCCTTTGTTTGTGCCAAAAGAAATCCAGACAGTTAGATCGCACTTTTCATCACCAATGAGCATCATTTTCAACTTACAATCTCATATGACACGTTGATTTAGATCTGCGCTTACCGTGCATTCTTAACAGCAGGGAAGTCTTTCTGAATTACGTGTCTCGAACACGGAGGATTATGTGACAGTCACTGGACATGCCTGATCCACAGAAGCAAAGTAACCGATCTGTTTTGAGGTGCGTGTTAATTTCAGTCAGTTGGGAAAAGTTCCAAACAGAAGGAGTGGTGAACGTTCCGGAAGCGTTTGGTAAATATCAACTAAAACGATGTTTATTATATCGTTATGTGTAGCTCTCAGTTGATCGTTCAGCTGTAGCATCCTTTTGGTGCCTAACTGCCATACCACCTAAAGGACATGAGGGTTGGGACACTGCCAAGTTGTCCCAGCCTAGACAGGGAAAGTCGAGAGGCAGAGGTTGGGTTCGAACCACGAACTTTCCAGTCAGTAAATTCGCGCTCCAACCACTGAGCCATCACGCCCTTCTCACGCTTCACCAAAAACTTCGCCTTCTTGGTCATCTTGGTATCTTATTCCTGGACTGCCTTACTTCTATTTAGTGCAGATTCTATGAGTGGGTGCTAATCATTATCAAAAACCCTGCAATTGTGGTACAACCGTACAACCACAAAGTTCATATAATTATACTTAAAGCCTTAAAGTGAAAAGAAAAAGAGCGGGTGAGGGAATGGATTCAGTGCTGGTCTATGTCAAGCATCTGGAAAGGAAATAAAAATGGTGGGGTTAATAGCGTTCCGCCAGCTATTTAGATTTTCAAGAGTTCCGAACTTATCCCTGCACAACATATATATATATATATATATATATATGCACATATATTGTTCACATTCACATCACTCTCGTTTGAACAGTCGTCCTTCTGTCCTGGCGCAATTATTCTCGTGAATCCACACCTAAGGGGGGGAGCATTGGACTCGAGTTTCGCTCTCAGTAGAGCTCATCAGCAATGCATATCCAATGGCCGTACCTGGTTTTGAACTCCGGACATCTGACGTGCGAGGAGAACGTGTTAACACTATTTCACCAGCGCACGTTGGACGCATCCGAATTCTCACGTCTGAACGGGTGAACGTGTTCAGGCTTCAGCGATGTGATGCCCAACTCATCATCGATACGACGGCCCAGTAATTGTCACCACAGGATATATATATATATATATATATATATATATATATATACGATGACGTTGGCCAGTGTCTTAAGTCCGTTCATCGTTTGGAACAAGGGTAGTTGCTACAATAATCCGTTGTGTCCAACGCAAAAACAGAGTTAAGCGATGTGGGTAAATTTCCCCCAAAACGGTTATGAGTAACCCTTTGAATTATGTGAGTGACTGATCACCTTTGGTCCCCATAGGTTTCATTTTTACACACCTTCCTACAAGAATATTCCTCCCGATATGGGCAGGCTCACAAAGCTAACTGTGATTACTAGATGATCGATAGAAATTCATTTCTGTGTACAAGAGGTTCTGCGTAGCCCGGTTTGATCAATGGACTACTTTTGTTTAAAAGGCAGCAGATTAGCGATGCATAGACTGAATCAAGATGCTGGAGTTAGGTCCGTTGGAAAGGGCTGGTCGAAGGAGGGTTTTGTTTCGCAAGGTGTTCCATATTATGTGACGACTTATGAAGGTAAGATATATCGATGGGATTTCAGCTTTCGTATGGCTCGATTTGAAAGGAGAGCAACCATAGGCTGCAACTGACTGAGACGCACCAGGAACAGCATACAATGACCAAATGTAAATATCCCAATAAAATCGTAGGAAACAAAGCACTGAGTCAAAACGGAAGAAGAATGATAGAAAAAACTCACTGTGCGACGGGTGAGAAATGATGCTCTTGATTACAGCTTGGAGGCTGTACCAGTGATGTGCGGCGGCTAGAACCTTCTACACCACCCAAGCTGTAGACTGGGCAGGATTTTGAACCTCGAGAAAACTCTTCCAGCACGGCATTTGCACACATTCTATTGAACAGGCCACCACTCGCATAGGGATTTTGATGGAGACAGGGACGCAAGTGGGGACATGCGGCAAGTCGTGTTCCATCAGCAGTGAGTGGGGTTTTTTGAGCTTTGGACGGAGAGGACATTCCCGATCCCATGCTACGACTAACTGCATCAGTCGAGTGAGGTGACTATTTCGAAAACATCAGAAAAAAACAAGTCTGAGTTAGTAGGACGGATAGAAAAGTACCGAACAATTTTCTATCAATGGTGCTGTACCAAGTAATTACCATTGGGACAGTAAACAGCTGCATTGTCACTGTTCAGGCCCGAACGCGTTGCGCGCACCGGAGATAGAGGGGTAAGGCAATGCGACTGATTTGTTAAAAGTGCATCTGTTGGACCCATAACGTTATTAGGACATAGTGAATGGGTATTTAGAACTCGTTATGGGTTACTATTACTGGTGCTTATTGTAAAAATGTGGGAATTTATTTTTGAGGCATGCTAGGTGACTGTTAATAGAGCCAAATATGGGTCGAATGGTGGTCAGTAGACAAAGGAGCAAGTAAGCAGTTCACAGTTTATCATCAATGTATCGGTAACAAAACTAGAAAAATACAGCGAACCCCTGCACGTTAAAGCCGCGGGCAGCTATGAGAGCTTCCAACAAGCAGAGCAACGAAGGTATGAAATCACGTGGTATTAATACGCAGTCTGTCCAGTCGATTATTAACAGAGTTTTGATTCGGCGAAGTTTGAAAGTCTTGAATATGGAAATAAGTCCTTCGAGGGAGCTCGAAAGCAAATATCTCGCTCGCCGGGTGAGTGCCTTAGCAACTGAACTACTACGGAGGATACCGCACACCACACATGTGCCCTTGCGTTTGAGTGCAGCTGAAGGCATCGTCACGAGCAAGAGTCCAGCACATATATCGAGCGACACATCTCACGTCAAGGAAAGGCGATTAAAGAAAAGGTAGCGAACCCTAGGCATGAGTAAATGTGTGATTAGCGTCAGTATTTACATCAGAAGGTCACTTCCTCTTGGCAGAAGTGCATCAGGAAATCCAGCAGGGCTTCATAAACGGATGAAGAACTTTGAGAAATTCGATGCTAAACTGACACAGGACTGCCGGAGATTTCGGAGCAAAAAGGCGTAAAACGCCAAGTTAAATGGGGAACACATACATCTGAGAACGGAATCGTGGCTGACAAAATTGTCACCATGAGTTATTAACAACCTACCTGTGAATTTGGGATCTGTTGCTGTAGACATGTCATAGCCGAAAAGTCTCTCGTGAGTCTGTGAACATTCGAGGAATGTTGTGCACCCAAACTAGGGCTTGCAGCTGTCGGAGAAGGAAGTCTACAGGTCTCATGAATGTTTGCGCTGGAGTTGATCATAGGTTTGTCGACAATGTTGTTCGCCATAGTTATTGTTAGGTTCTCAACGGGCCGCTCAGACTCTTGAGGACCACAGGCGGATTGGGATTCGTCTCCGCGTGGGGACCGAGAAGCAGGACGAAGTCCAAAATCAGAAAAGTAGCGGCAATGACAATGGACCTGAAACGGGAAGCAAAATCAACTTCGTAGGTTACCAAACTGCTTACGACCGAACAGATTTAGTGAACCAGTGGATCGTAGAATGGAACAGCATTCGAATGGCACAGATTTGATCATCTCACGGGTACCTTGAAATTGGCAACAGCCAGTACATCAAAGCACATCAACAAAGATGTGGTATATCTATCTAAGGCCTCTCTGTACGGCGATTTTTTCCCAGTGTGTTCGAAGCTGTCGAATTTTTCTTCACTTTGTGACCCTAGGATTCGGTTAATTATATAAGGCTATAAGACAGTCGATGTTGGGCAACGTCTATTGCAGAGTTTCGGATGCTTGCGACAGGTCAGGTACATTTATGGAATTGCATACATTAATTCGCAACCAGAGAGTACATCAGTGACTTTCACCAGTATGGTCAACTTAGTTGTTACGGCTCAGTACACATGCAGCCCACTTGGGTAGATTTAGGAAGCGCGTAACAGAAACAAAGGTTAGCTTCACTCTTGCCGAATAACAGTATCAGTCATTACAGTGGGGGTACTGTACTTTGGACCCAACATCTTAGCCGGTTTTGCAAATACGTGTGTTGGTGTAGGAAATGTGTCAGAGTGCCAAGTATACCCCTGTGAGCCTTACTGTTTAGTACTTCTCAGCATTTAGGTAACCTGAGAGACATTTGGCATTTCAAATTAAAGCTTAAGAGTACTGAGATCCCATAACAGTTTTGATTCTTGTCAAATGAGGAGGGGTCTTGAACTTTTCAGATAGGCAAAATCAGAAGAAATGATGGCAGTGACCAAAAGGCCTGACGATGGTTAGACTCCGATACACTTTGTTGTATCAATAAAGGGAAAAATAAAGGATTACGGGGCGTGGGTGGTGACAGTGTATGAAATCTGTTAGCGAAGCTCTATTCTGAAGATCCCCACCAACCAATTATGACCAACCAATTATGAGTAACAGGTGACACCACAGGCATAATTTGGCGATAAAGTGGAAACTCACATAGGCAATATGCAGTGTGACTGAACCATGGAATGACTAATAGAAGTCCGGAAACAAACGCATCCGCCCAGCCCTAACACAATCATGTATAGGTTGCCTAGTGGAAGAGGTGGTCGAATCTGATAGGCGACCCCTACGGCAGAAGGCAACTGTAGGTTCATTATCGAGTGACAGCCATAGAGAACGGGAAATCAATGAATCAACCATATACTATGTACCTAAGAGGAGTAGTTTAAGCTTTTCTATGGGGGAAATGTTGGTAGCTTAGGTAGCGTAGATGGTCGTTGGTATGTTTGCTGAATTGGGCAATTCGTTGCAATCAAGTACTTCTAGCTGCCACGACTATTATACTGATCGGTAACGGGAGTGTAAGTATCAGAGGTTGTTGCTAGTGCTGACCAAGGTGCATCACGCTGAGAACTCATAGGATGAATCCTCATCATCACTGACCGAAAAATATCAGTAAAACATACCGGCGCTCAACTGCCAGAGTAAATAGTTCAATGTAATAAGGTCATGGTTGTATTGTTGTTAGTTGTGTAGGTCATGGGAACATTGAAGGTGGCTAAGTAGGCAGGCCATCACGAAGAGACTGGACCTTACCGTGGTGTGGTGGTTTGTGTACCTCGGAGACCCATTGAGCTATACTGGAGAGTGTCCCGCGACACTCACAAAGTCTCTCACACCAGATTGGTCAATGGTTAGAGGTCTGACGAACACAGTCTCCTGGCCCTCCAGGTTGGGGGTTGGAACATGTATGGCGACTTGTTCCGTAGAAAAGGTAATGCATTTGCATTTCCCGCCAAACACCGCTGCCTTGCGGTTAGGCTTTTGAGCCAAAGGCTTTGGTTGAGGACCCTAATCGTCCTCCTGTCTAGGTGTGGGCGCCCTGGCAGTATCCCAGCCCTCGTGCAACCACGATCCACAATACACAAATAAACTCATGCCACATCGGCCGTCTCGTGGTGCCATCAGCCGGGTCGCCTTACTTGCTGCATACAGCA